GAAGATGAAGAAGTTGTTGACGACGATGTGGATGTTTTTGTGTCGTCTGTCATTTCTGCTACAAATTCTATTTAATAGCTGTCAATGCAGAATGTTAATTAGCCCAAGGAAATTTTTTCTGATGTGGAAGATCAGCCTAAGCCGCAACCACATAGCATACTAAAATAAACCAAGAGTTCTGATACCAATTGTTGTGGAATTCGAGCTAATTTCCACCAATAATAACAAATTCACCTTGAAAACTATTATCTAGGTGACTAGTGTGAAAACGATTGTACTAAAAATCACCCCAATGAAGATTCCCAGGAAAGAGTGGAGAGGTTACAATGGTCCCTCTTAAAACCCACTCTCCTTAGACAGAACTACCAAAACAAGTAATTTTAATAGGACAATAATTAACAACAACTATACCCGACAATAGCTATTAAATAGACATAAAAGAGAATACCAAAATTTAACGAGGTTAGGCCAAAATTATACATATGTCATCGAACACTACTAAAATAATATTTCACTAATAGAGGAAATATTACAAATAGAGATAAAGAGTACAAATAGCTTTTAATATGAAAAAAGCTTATATTTGTGAGATGTTAAACTAAGGAGGAGGAGGACTCTATTTATAACAAAAGAATTTCCTCTCCTCCTTATACAAAACCAATGTAGGATTCAAAATTTACAAAAAAAACCAACACAATGGACAAGAGCTGAATTCTTAGCACATTCCAAATTATGGCATATTTGGAAAGGATTTTATTCACCCAAGTCATTAGAGCTAAGATTAATCACCATCTTTTAGTGAGCTTCAAGAAAAGCGGGTCATTATTGTGTAAGAAGATACGTAAAATTTTATATTAAAAGATAATTTTTTAATAAAAGTAATTTAATTTTTTTTAAAAATTAAAAGTGAGGATCACCCCTATCGATCCGTATCCATCCGTGTACTGTATAGAGCTTCGCAAAGGACTTTAAAGATGTCCAAGTTGTAGAAGATCGCATTGCATAATTTTAATGTCATTTTATGTTTTAAATTCATATTTTACTTTTCCCAAAGGCCAAAGTCATTTGAGAGATTTAGAATCCTTTTTCCACGTTTTAAATTATTCTATAAAATGTTTCTATGAAGTAATGCATAAAATAACAAGTAGATAAATTGTCAAAAAAAAAAAGATAAAAGACAGACTTATCACTTAATGTAAAATAAATTTAATATCTTTATTTTATTTCTTTTAAATTATATTATTATTTAAAATTTACTTTTATAAAATATTTTAATTATATCCGATACTTAATTGTTTTTATTAATTTAGCGTAAATACAAAATAGTGTATGTTTAAATATATATCTTTCAACCACTTGATATTAAACACTCATACCTTGGTATTCTTGATTAGGGATGGCAATGGGTCGGGTTATGGTTGGATTTTTTATCAAACTAATCCGACCAGAAAATATGCACCCTCCACCCGAACTCGACCCAAACCGAAAATTTTATATCCTTCATTCGACCCAACCCGACCCGAAAATATATATTCTCCACCCAACCTAGTATAAATTAAGAATTTAATTAAAAAAATCCGACCTAACTTCATCCCTTAAAAAATCTGACCAAACACGACTCAAAACCTTTTTTTAAAAAAATCCGACCCGATCTGGTTAGAACTATCAAATGTGGGTGAAATTGCCATCCCTTTTCATGATGCTCAAACTCGAGACCTCAAGAAATATCAAGAATTCTTTTACCACTTAGATCGTTTGGTTCATACTATCCAATACTTAATTTTAAATAATAGATCAAATACATTTTATAATTTAAATTTTGTTGAAAATGGTGATAAATTGTGCTAGGTTTATTAGCCCCAAACTGATCCCGATGAAACGTATGGGTTCACCAACGAAACCGACCAAGCTTTATCGAGGTGCTAGGCAGCGTTACTGAGGGAAATGGGTCGCCGAGATTCGGCCACTGATGTCCCACTTCAAATATGACATCCTTAAACTAAATAAGGAATGGAGGGATGAAGACCATGCTACCGATGTTATTTCCATGGCCGAACATATTCCTGAACTTAACCTTCCTGTTGTAAGTATATCAATATTTCAGATTAAGAATATTGATACCGTTCAAAAGAGAGCTGTAAGACGAGATAACGTTTCAGAGAGAGGAGAATTCTGATTTGGCTTCACATTTGAAAAAAAAAAACCCAAGAATCAAATATTGAGCTTGTTTCCATTCTTCAGGAACTGGAATATACAATAGAAAAGCAGAAAGTAGAAATTGATAACCTTCTGCTGCAAAATCTGAATGTGAAGAATCGCGGAAGGATGACTTTGGTGAAACAATATTCTTGAACAACAAGACAAGATTTGAAAAACATTATTCAGGTACTGAAGGAAACTCTGAAAGAAAAGAACCATGAAATTGAGATTGAACAAGCTTCAATGAGTCGATCGATTATGGATTGTGAAGCTGAATGGAAGGGAAAATTAGATGAAAAAGAACAAAAAAATCATTAATTTGGAAATGGAATTGTCCGAAGCTCTAGGTGTCCAAGGTTTAAAGGAAATGGGCTCTGAAAAAGAAGTAGATTCTCATCTAATCAAAGAAGTTGAAGATCTAAAACTAAGGGTGCGGGAATTTGAGAGAGATTGCAATGAGCTTACTGATGAAAATATGAAACTTCATATATTTCATTGATAAAGCTTGGTCGGTTTCGTTGGTGAACCTATGTTTCATCGAAATCGGTTAAGAGCTAATAAACCTAGCCATATGGTGAGGTGGGTTGAGGATTTTGGTTAAGATAGCTAGGTTGGTTGGTATGGAACTGAGCCGGGATCTGAGGAAGAAGAAGGGGAATGGGAAGTATAAGCAGTTTGCATAAAAGGTCAATAAAAATGGCTGTCCATTTTTCCCATATGTATGGGGTAAGAGAAGGTAAGATAGTAGGTTACTCCCAACACTAGGTTGAGAGCAGCTTCCGTAAGACTTCCAGAATTATGAAATACCCTCCGTGGAACTCGATCCTACGACCTCAAGGTTAAGAACATTGTGCTCTACCAACTGAACTGGATGGTCATTTCATATAAAAGGTCAATAGTTTTCATTAATTTGTGACCGGTCAACGCTCCAAGTAAGCCGTTAATGGACCGACTAAGCATTTAACAGCCAGCTCAGCTTTCTGTCATCGAGTTAACTGCCGTTAGAGCCGAGCTATCATAGTGTAACAAATCAATAATGTTAATGATTAATTTGTAATTTTTAAAAGTTCAGTATAAAAATTGAAAACTTATTCAAATTTTAGCGACTATTCGTATAGTTTACCTTAAATAAATCATACTTCCACGTCTGCAACATTAACATTAAGGGCGCAAATTAATAAAACGTTTGATGAACTGTTTGTGAATTGTTTGTATAACATTCGTTTATGTTTATTTATCAAAGTAAATAAACGAGTATGAACAAAATTATTTATGTTCATTTAATACACGAGTGAACACAAACACATGTATCTTCATTTCGTTTATGTTTACGAACAATCTTTTTTATGTTTATGAACAAGTTCGTTTATCGACTTATTCATTTATGTTCACAAACAAATCGTTTATCGACTCGTTCATTTATGTTTATAAACAACTTGTCTATTTATTTTCATAAACAAACTCTTTTACTCGATTCCTTTTTTTTACATTTTAAATATTGAATATTAAATTAACAGTAAATAAACACATTCATTAATGCTAAATAAATAATTCGTGAATATATGAATAAGTACGTTCACGAAAATAAATAAGTAAAAATGAATACTTTCAGATATAAGTAAATAAACATGAATATAGTTGTAGGAGAACATGACCATCTTCAATTTATAGTATCTTCGGAAGATAAAGTAAAAAAAATGATATTGGGTAAAAACAGGGGCAAGGAGAGACGTATGAGGGGACAGCCTGACAATATGCAAAGACAGACAGTACTCAACCCAGAAAACAAAACAAAAGAGGGAAAAAAACACAATCACTGCTACATATCTATGAATACAATAATATATCGTCAGCTAGGACAATGCAAATACTTCTCCTAAACTTTAGAGGGCGTTGGGATCATGGAAATTTTATTTATTGGTAGAAATTTTCTTTTCTCGGACTGTTATACTCACGTTTAGATGGAAAAGATTTTCATTTGAGGATATTATCTCATTGTCAACAGTAATTATTTTTATCTTTTTACTAGGAATGTCGTTTACACATATTACATAAGTTTTTATTTATTTCCGGATATTTGGACTAAAATACTATTTCTTCTCATCTTCTTCCCGTGATCTCGTTTCTGTCCAATTTCCTTTGCTTAGAATTCTTCCTGGTAAGATTTCTCCTCCACTCATTTTCTTTTAATTTCCCAGTAATTATACTTTGCTTTTGATTTTGATTCTTTTCCTTTTCTTTTAATTTTTCCTTTGCTTTTGATTCTTTTTCTTTGCTTTTAATTTTTCCTTTGCTTTTGATTTTTTCTTGATAGTCTAGTTTCAACAACTTCTCCTGAATTCGACCTCCATACTTTTGATTTGAGTTTACTGTGAGTACTAGTTCTGTCGTGAGGATCCAGAAATCTCATGAAACTCTTACTTTCTCTGACGTTGCTTCATAATGTTACATTGCTTTATTCATTTTCCATTCCACAAAGTACATAATTTCGTGCTTTCTCAGCTGAGCTTGTTGTTTTTCGTATGTTGTTTAAACGTTTGGAACGTTTCAGTGTTGAGCTTAGAATGCGGATTCTTTTTCTTTTTCTGCACAAATAATCCATGTAAGGATTCCATAAATTTGATAGATTTATTTCATTCTTGCCGCAACTTCAGTGGTCCTAATATAAACCCTAGAAGCCAACAGGTTATTCTTATATTATTTTCTCAGTTTTAATATTTCATTATTTATTTTGTTTGATTTGTTTTTTAGTATTTCAAATCTTACAAAGGAGGTTCATTTTTGTGGTGAATCTGGTGCAGAGAAAATGGCGACAGTTCCAGGACAGCTGATCTGGGAGGTAGTGAAGAAGAGCAATTGCTTTTTGGTGAAGCAGTTCGGAAGAGGAAATACTGGAGTTCGGTTCAGCAAAGAGCCTAACAATCTCAACTCCTACAAACACTCTGGTATTCTTTTGATCCCAAAGTTTTCTCTTTTTCCTTCTTCATGGACGATTCAATGATATTGATCTTAGGCTTGTTGCAAAAGAAATGATATTATTGAGTAAAAGTGAAATAGAAATTATGTTATATGCATATGCAAATGTTTTGTATGTATATTGTAATTGATGTGGAACTTGTACAAGTTATCAAGTGATCTAAAAGAAGTTTGTGGTTGTCTAGATGATGGTTTCAAGGGGAAACATAAATTTATCACTTGTATTAGTTGTGATGTTGTATTTGTATTTTATTTATTGTTTAATCTCTTAACTTTTCCCGATTCTGAACATTGAAATATGTTCTCTGGTTTTTAATTTTCTTGTTTTTGTTTGATCCGTGTAATTTTAGGGTTGGCAAACAAGAAAACAATCACCATTCAGCCAGGGGACAGAGATCAGTCTGTGCTGCTAGCAACCACCAAAACTAAGAAGCAGAACAAGCCGTCGGCCTTGCTTCACAAATCTGTCATGAAAAAGGAGTTCCCCAGGATGGTGAAGGCAGTAAAAGACCAGGTATATTGGAAGAGCCTTTTGAAAGATATCCATTTATTCTTTTTCTAGGTTTGCCTATTGATATTTTGCTATTTTTCATTATTGTCCTGAAGAGAAAAAAGTCTTATTTTTCTTTCTTAATAATGTTAATGATGCTGAGAGAAGTCTTTTTCTGCTTATCTAATATTAGTTCTATGCCATTAATTATACGCGAGTTCAATTTATAAATAGAGAAAATGTACATCATTTGTATCATGTTCCATCCATTCTCGCTTTGAGAGGATAATACAACTACGTGCATTTATTTTATTCTCTCGTTGTTACTTTGTTCTTTATTTTTTGTTACTTTTTTTAGTGGTTAGAATAGTTACATTGGTGTTTAAGCTTCTGCATCCATTGAAGCCTAACATGTCGAGATCTTTAGCGAGCGTAGATTCTTGTAAAACTTGTTTTCATACTTACTTAGACCCCGACAGATCAAAGAGCGTCTAAAAGTATCTAAAACGATATTCCACCGTATCAAAACTCTAGAGCCTGACACTATTTATATCCCTTATCTTATTTTTCTTAAACCTCAAATTCTCTTGAGCCTTCAGTTTCCCTCTATTTTTCTTTTCTTTTAAAGGAAAAACTCTCATCGGGTTCGATTTTTTTTTTTACAATTATGTCTCAAGTTGAGGATAAAACGGAAGTACCATAGGTGACAAATGGGTCATTAATATCGGGTTCAGCTCGGATTATTTTGGTTCGGGTCATTTCAGTTTAAATTTAATTCAAGTCAGTTTCGGATCGGGTTGAGTCATTTCGAGTTTCAGTTTTATACGGATTTATAGTAAGTCAGGTCGTGTTCGGGTATCGGGTCAGGTTAATATCGAATCATTGATTTTGGGTTGGATCAAATGGGATCGATTGATTTTTGAATCATATCAAATATCCGATAAGTTATTTTCGGTTTGAGTCAACTTTGGATATTCAGGTCAATTTTAAGTTGGGTTGGGTATAAGTCAAATAAAGTATATATAGAATTATTGATATATTTTTGTAAAAAATGTGTCATTTTTTTAAAATCTTATCATTTGTGTTCAATTTGATTCAAATTCAATTATCATTTATAGATTATAATTTAAGTCGATATTCAAAAAGTATGGGACCAATTTAGGATGAAGATTATAGACTGGGGATGAAAATGAAATGCTCAAAAGTTTGAGGACTTCTTTAGAATAATAGTCATAGTTTAAGGATGAAATTAAAATATTTAAAAGCTTAAGGACCAATTTGAAATAAGGGTGATAGATTGAAGACATATGATGCAATTAACTCATTAATGATTCGTAATTTGATTTAAATTAATTGAAAGCCAATTTAATAAATTATTTTGGTATTTTTATACATTTTAACTCAATTATCAGGTTAAAATCGAGTTAATGTTTGGTTTAGATCAGATATGGATAAATTAAATTTAGATTACTTTCGGTTCAGGTTATTTTCAATTCAATTGCTTTCGGTTCGATTAAAATTCGGATTGTTTTGATCGGTTCGTGTTACTTTCAGTTTGGTTAACATTTGAGTCAGTTTCGGTTTGATTCGATTTTTTCGAGTTTCGGATCAAATTTGAATCTATTTTGAGTCTCGATTCGAGTAAATTAGTTCGGATAATCGAATTCAGATAAGTTTGCTAGGTAGAAGGAGCAAATTGTTGCCATTAATTTTGTGAATATGACGAGTGTTTTTAAATATTTACCGGATATTTTATTGATTTAAGCGGATGCTTTTTCTTGGTATTAAATCAAACAAATAAAAGAGATACATGTACGGTACAAGAAATACAGTAGTAGGTGTTAGAAATAAAGTTAGTCTGTTTTGGATTTGTTGGTTAGTTAGCAGTTAGTTTGTTGGGCCGTTCATATGGTTTGCTGGTACTGGACAATATAGGCCTAATGATTGTAATGGGCTGCACACCCTTTCAAATATAAGTATTAGCTTATTCTCTCGTAATATTGACTGCTGCCGTTCGGTAGCCTCCGGCCACAACGCCGGAGTTACAAGGTTTCTTACAGCAGGAAGCTAAATTACACAGTACGAAGTGGTCTTGACATACAAAACGTAATATGCAAACTACAGACTTCCGATCACAGAGGTTGAATCTGTCAATGCACTTTCCTCTTGGAACTCATCACCTCCTCTAAATCGCTTCTGCTGTTCCACTTGAAGTTTTCTTAAGCAACTCTCCAACAAGTTCTAACCTGCAGCCCATCGACGAGGAATCGGTAAATGATTTCTAGACTGATTTCGATATGTGGAAATTGTGATAGAGTAGACCATATATTATCATACATGTGTTCATGAAAAGTAGTCTTAGATCTGGATAGGTGGGCAGAAACTAGAGACTTTGAATCGGATTCTCTAACATGGTGACAGTTGACCATATATTATCAGCTGTTTCTTCCTCTCTACCACATAAGTGTAGCCTGCACTCCATTGTTGAGGACCTCTCGGTTCTAACACGATAAAAGTTAAAACTCACTTAAAAGAAAACATGGATTTAGGATATTAAGGCAAGACCGAATTGTCTAGGGACCAACCATATCCCACAAATTTTGGCTGGTTATTTTTCCACTCTATGGATTTGTTAGATGCTTATTTAACATGGAATTGGAAATTCTTAGTACATTTTTGAATTTGATAGATTCATGTAAATTTAAATATAGTCAACAATATATATATGAAGAAAAGAATGAAAAAGAGGTTGGAGCGTTGGATGTAGGCATGAGGCAGGTAGGAAAGGGTGAGTTAGTTAAGCTAACTTCTTAGTTAGAACAAAGGACCCACAAATGGGCTTTTCGAGGCACATAGTGCTCAAGTGTTCAATCATTGCATTCATTCATCTAAAGTTACTGTGGTTGTACGCCTTTCATGCTCAAATCAAGATTAATTAGGCGCTGAATTTTGCACTAAATTCCATTACTTGGTATTATAATTGATGGTTGTTGGCTCACCATGTGTCCGTGAAAACATTTTGCTTTTACAACAGTGCTGCATTCCACAAAATCAAGTCATGTGGTTGAGGAAGATGAAACAAATTAATCATTCATGTTTATGTGGCTAGGGAATTTTGAAAATGGCTTTAAATCTCTTCCAGAAAATAATAAAAAATTAAATTAATACAAAGCTAAAATAACACTTTACTTGCTATTAAACATCACCCTCATTCCACTTGGAACTCTGCGAAAAGTTCTATTTCCAGACAATCTTAAAAGGCTAAAGCTGGCAAGAAAGACTTCTAAAACGGATAGTGATAGAAACATAATTTTATGTTAGATAATAAATATATAACACTTTTAAAAAAATAAATTTATTCAAAAAAAATATATATATAAGATATATACAAAAATTACTTTTTTCAAAAGGTTACCGATCTAGTCAGTCCCCACTCGGTCTATCCGTGAAGAGTCTATTGTGTAGACTCTACAATTTACAGCAAACTCATCATTCATATCACCATATGGTAAAATTTTTCAATCTATACATAAATAAAATGAACTTTCTCTCTTTCGGATCTCTGTTTGTTTGTATAAAATATTCGTGGTCGAAGATCATTACAATCTAAAACCCGCCATAAAAGAAATGTCGATCAACGTGATCGTTGATGGTGTTGAATCTGTTCAGGGACGAAGAACAATTACCCTAAATTTTGATGGTTTAATTACTTTTAGGTCACTACTATTTTAAAATCATTACAATAAAGCCCCTGTCCGCCCATTGATGGTTTAATTATTTAATGACCCTTTCCGTTCTAAATGGAATCATGTCTTGATTTCTAATTTTTCTAGTTTAATCACTCTTTAAACATTTTTTAATTTTTAATTTATTCAATTTTACAGATCTAATTATTTTAAAAGTTAAATAACTTATTTCCTCATAATTCAATCTTGGTTATGTCTATAAATCCTATAAATCCGTCAATGGACAGATTTTTATAAAAACTAGACTCTTCTATTTGTTGGAAAATTATAAATTACTTGAATAAAATTGATGCTCTTTATAACAAGTATTGTCACTTGGTGAAAAGGCATAATAATAATAAGTTATATCATTTGGTGAATGGACTTATCTTTCGGTTTAAAGTTGCATCCATTCAATTATACTTATTAGTTTTTCAACAAATTCCTTCATCAAATGATTTTAACTCCTCATCAAAAGGTCATAAACTTTTGATTAATTTTTTCTCCTCTATATATAGGCTAGTTAAGGCACAAATTTTAGTGACAACTTTCACAACTCTGAATAGGAAATCACTTAGAAATTCCTTATAGATCTATTCTGTCCAAAAGTAATATTGTGTTCGCATGATCGCTACATTTATGCTTATTGTTGTGATTGTTTGTTGCTGTAGGATAGGAGACCGGCGTCCAACATTACTTAAATCACCGATTAGATGACGGATATGTCTTGAGGAAACTATTCATACAAGTCTCAACAAAATTTCCCCTTCTGTTTATCAAACTCCGCTCATCCAATTTCATGTCTACATATGAGTAACTAATCTCGTTTTTCTATCTAAATTCTTTATTTATTTTGCTTCGTTCGTTTACATAATGATATTTTTATTATTATTATTATTATTATTATTTTTTACTTCTCGGATTAATATATTGTCTAACAATATTAAGAAGGTATGATAATTTGTCTGATGTTCCGTTATTGTAGCCGAGGCTGCTCATGATCTTTTAATGTAACATGGAGACTTGACTTCAAATTTGTAGAACTTGAAACTAATAATATTGAAATTGCTCGAATCTAAAATAACTTGTCTGATGTCTTAACCAGAAATGCTTTGAAAACTGCTATCTTTGAGCTTCGAGATCGTGATTAGGTCAGAAGAATGAGATATGTTCGTAGAGAACAAAACAGTGTTGCTGATAAACTGGCAACGTAGGAAAGAGGTACCCATTAGTGTTCAAATGTTGAATAAGACTTCGATGGAGTTGCTCGATCTGCTGCAGCAGGACGTGCTTGTTTCTAGCTAAAGTTTATGCTTTGTGTCTGTTTCAATAAAAGAAAAAGAAGGTACGATGAACATATAATAGTGTCGTAGGGTGGATACACCACCAAATCAGATTGAAGCCCTTATTTCGAATTGTGTTTTTAATTCCTACAAAACAGATTCAGTTTTCATGAACAAGATACCAACGTGTCATTATTACAATCATAATTGAAAAAAAACTCAAAATTAATTCATATATTAAATAGCGACCTATATATCTTAAGGTAAATTATTTTTTTGGGTCATTTCAACTTTACCAATGTATTAGTTTTGATCACTCAAACTTGTAACTTTTTATTTTATCATTAAACTTTGAACTTTATTTGTTTTAATTAATCAACTTTTAAATATCCTACTGTAGCATTAAAACATTGCGTTTTAAGGTTTATAAATTTGAAAAATTTTCTTAATGTTTTGAACCTTTCTTCTATGGTCAGAATTTCCTTTATTACCAATAATTGTTTATAATATAATTATTTTTTGGTACATCGTGAAGTTACAAACCGACAGCCTACGTTTTTAGCGTGGCTTCTCCTCTAGCACCAGCTATCAACAAAGGAATTAGTCCATTTGGAGTTCAGTTTGTTTATCTCGTTCCCTTGTTTATATGTTTACCCGGCTATCTACGATTTAAGGCAGACGTAAGATTTTATATTAGGGAATTCAACTTTAACTTATAAAATTTCAAGAGACGAATAAAATTTTAGAGGAATAAAAGAAAATTTAAATAGAAAATAAATAAAAAAATATAAAATATATGATAATTTTAAAATTTTAAAGAGACTACACCGATTCTTACCTAAATTTATCCATGATCTACGTATTTATAATGTAACGAGTAACAAAATGTTCTAGAAAAAACCCTTATTCTCCATTATTTGTGTGTGTGTCAACAACATTTTAACTCTGAAAAAGAATATCTTTTAACCACGATAAACAACTAGTCCTAAATACTTCAATATATTAAAAAATTGTCACCATCCATCATAGCCACCCTGACTTTGACAGCTGTACTGAAATGTCAAGTTTAGAGTTAATCTTTCATTATCTCAAACACCCATATTAAACCCATTTTAGTGTCGAACTCAAATGGGCATTTGCAACGTGGCCAATGAGATTATCTGTATCTAAACTTAATGAACCGAATAAAAATTCAAAGGGGTATTAAAGTAAAATCACCGACATAATGAAGAAATTGTTGAAAAGCTCAAGGCGGCGAACAGCCTGGCAAGGGAAGACGGTGGACAAAAAAATATGTTATAGTTGGGAAATAGTATATTGTAATTTTGTCCAAACCCCCCCTACTATGTAGAAAGTGACTGACCTTAAGCAACCAACAAAGTTCTAACCTTAATGGCACTACGCGCGGGTAAATCCAAAATTTATACTACTAATTAAGTTCCTTTAATCAAGGACAGGTGTCAGAATCACATACCTTTTAGAGTGGGGAACAGCTGTTTGTATCTGATTCTTGAAGAAACTTCTAAGAACGAAAGAGCAAATGGAATCAGGTGCAATATAAAATCATATTTAATAAATCCATTTAAAAACGAGACACATAAATAGAATAAATTTTAATTTACTAGTTCAATATTTTTCATTAAGATTATTATTTGATTTTATAATACAAAAAGTAAATATTAATTTTTACAATAAAATAACAATAATAGTAAAAATAGTACGAATCAATTGATCACAATAATTAAAAAATGATGATTATTTTTTAAAGTCTTAATTTTTAAACATAAAATTTATAAGAATTTTTGAATGTTTATTATCAAATAATTAAACACATTTACTTTTGTTTATTCTATATGTTCCATTCACAATTTTATAAACAAATTCATCTATTTCTTTTTTCTTTCTTCAATTTTAGCTCAATTTATTATCATATTCTTGTAATTATATCATACAATAATTGATCCATAAATATTTTATAAGATATGTACACATGTATTAATAATAAAATTATTTTGTATGAGATAAATATAAATAATATTTTAGAGTCGACATCATCACTATAATAAAAAACTAACATAAAAAATTTCAAATTTTAGAATAAACAAATGCATACTCTAATTTATACATAGATCCACCATGCAGGTAAAGACGTGGCCTACGACACATATTTTCAAAGACTTTTTAACACTGTTTGAGGTGATTATGTTATGTGGTAATCTAATATTATAAAGTTAAAAAACGGTTATCTTCGGATATAATAAATAATACGATAAAAATAATAATATTTTATATTAAAAGTAATTTAAAATATTATAATTTTTATAATAATTTTTATTTACAATAAAAAATATTTATGATATTTTAAATTTAACCGAAGCTGTTTAAATTTTTATTATATTTTTATTACGTTCAAAATTGTTGAAGTAAAGTTTCAAGTTAAACTACCGTCCTTTAGACTTTTCGACGCAATTTTTTCAAAGACCTTTTAACATACATGTTATATTTTTACCTTAATTAACAATTTAACATTAAAAATATAAATCCAAAAAATAATATGAAGCGAATGTTAATTTTTTTAAGAAAAAGAAATTAGGTAATATTTATATAAAAGGGACAATAAAACGTGCCCAGCGCATTGCTTAGCTTAGCCGTCATGTGGTTGCATGTATTTTGTAATTACAACATATAAATATATGCTACATATTTCATATTTTTTGTGTAGACAATAAAAAAGAATCCAATTGCATTTTTGTTTTGGTACCTCTTTTTCTGTGCTGTCCACTCCCACGTTCTCCTCTCCCTCTTTATGTATTCAGTTCCCTCACCTCTAAATTCTCTACAATTCCGATAACCAAGACACTCTTCCCGGTGGCAGCTTCCCTCACCTTTCTCTCCGCCCAAGTTTCGAGTTCAGTCAAGATGAGCTGGACCACGTTTAAGGTTTTGCTTATGTTGGGTCTTCTGGCCACCTCTTGCATGGCTCAAGCACCAACAGCTCCGCCAACGGCACCACCAGCAGCTACCCCGACACCGGCACCAACGCCACCACCAGAAGCTACCCCGGCATCGACCCCGTCTCCAACACCATCTCCGGCGCCAACTTCCCCATCGCCATCTCCGACAACCTCTTCACCTTCTCCATCACCAATCTCTTCCCCTCCTGCTCTTACCCCATCGGGTGAAGTTGCTCCAGCCTCCGAGCCTGCTGCTGGCCAAGGCCCTCCACCCCCCTCTGCCGCCTCCACCAAAGGCCTTTTCATTAGTGCAACTGCTGTGGCCGCCACTCTCGTCGCTGCTGTTTTGGCTTAAGAATGTGAAGTCGCCTGCTTTGGGATATTTTCTTTCCTTCTCTCTTTTATTCTGTCGAATAGTATTCTTTTTTGTTTTTATAATTTATTTGCCATGTATGGATTGATTGGTGATTACGAGTCCATTATTTGGGGTTGGGGAGGTTGATTGTCTGATCGGACGGTTGTAGAGATTGGACTGCTGTACATCTTACCACAGTGGAATAAAATCAGTTTCTTATTCTTCCCCCCCCCCCCAAAAAAAAAAACTAATGCCACCTGTTATGTTTTTATTCTTCTGATCAAAGAATTAATTGTTGTGTTTAAGATTGAGAAGGGAGAATAATGTTAATGGGGAAATTTTGACTAAATCATAGAGTTGGATGAAATGAAGAATCTACTTTGTGTTTTCTTTTCAAGTGGTATGGATATATTTGAATCCAAAGTGCGTTTTATTTATGGAATGTAGTATTATTTTTGGGAATATAATTACCGAAATGTAATATTAACTAATACATTACTGAGAATGTTGCATTGTTATGTTTGGTTCGTTTAGCAGGAATGTAAGATTACAGTGTTTTGTTAAATGAATAAAAGATTATTGAAATTTATATTTTATCAAATTGTCTTTATTATATATTTGTTTTTTTAACAAATTGAATTCTAAATATTCAAATGAAAAAATTTGTATAAAAGATCATAGAAAATATATAATTTTACTATTTTTAATTTATATATTTTCTTTAAAAAAATTAAATTCATAAAATTTATATAATTTTTTTTACAAAATTTAAAAGATAAATATGTTTAATGAAATGATTTTATTTTATTTTAACCACACTTCATATAAAATTCTAATTATTAACTTATTTTTGTAAATCTAAAATAGTTTAAGGATAAATTTGCAATTTAACCTTCTTAGATTTTTTTATTTAACGACAGAAGAAGAATATTTTTGAAATTTTTTTGTTTTAAAGGCATTTTAATCTAAAACGTTGGGAAATGACAAATACCTAAGAGATTGGAGAGAATCACATTCCCGGTAATAAGCCCTCAAAATGCCATTGTTGGGAATGACTTATTACCGGAGGTCGAGAATCTTTGCAATCCAAAACGGGGAATCACATTCTGGAAAAAAAATTCCCCCGGTAATCTCACAATCCTCCATCCAAACGCACCCTTAGGGTGCATTTGGTTCACGAAATGTAAGATTACTAGTGGGAATGTAAGATTACCAGGGAATATGATTACTGGGAATGTTGTATTTTGTGTTTGGTTGGTTTAGCAGGAATGTAAGATTACCGTGTTTGATTAAAGGAATAAAAGATTATTTAAATGTATATTTGACCAAATTGTCCTTATTATATGTTTATTTTTTAACAAGTTGGAAAATATTTATATATTTTCTTTAAAAAAAATTAAATTCATAATATATATATATATATATATATAAAATTGAAAATATAAAAAGGTTTAATGAAAGGGTAAAATTTTATTTTAACCCCTGAACTTCATATAAAATTTTAATTATAGATTTTTTTGTAAATCTAAAATAGTTTAAGGATAAATTTGTAATTTAACCTTCGTCGAATTTTTATTATTCAATGACAGAAGAAAGATATTTTTTGAAAACAAATTAAGGGCATTTTAGTCCAAAACGACGATAATCCAACAATACCTAAAGAAAAGGAGGTAATGACATTACCGGTAATATACCTAAAAAAATATGCTATTGGTAATAAAACATTACCAGGAATGAGATTCCCGACCAACCAAATATGGGAATGTGGATTCCATTCCCATGAAAATCCCATATTCCTTGAACCAAACAGCTCCTAAAGGCAAGTTTCAAGATTTGACGAAAACCAACTTCATTCGTAGCTTTTTACTTTGATAATTCAACTTTGACATTTTATATCAAAAGGGTATGTATTTTTATTCAAATTACAACATTAACCCATCGAGAATTCCAGATCAAAACAAATTCAATTGAAAAGAGGAGGAAAATATTGCATTTCTCCGCAGTTTTCTTTTAATTATATAAGGTGATTATAAGATAATATTGATTTATAATACATGTACTCATTGACTATGTGCATATCGATTTATATTTCTTTTTTTTAAGCATTACAACATTTTGGCAAAACGCTCGTAATTGTTGTTTATCACGTTGTCGTAACTGTTGGCTGTCATTGTATGAAGATTACTCGTAATATTCGACAAAACGCTTAAAGTAACTCAATCACTCTCTGAATCCTAATATCAAAAACCCAGTCGACATTTCGGGTTTCTTCATTAATTTCTTCAACATTACATGAATATTTTGTTTGACACTTGAGACACCGATGTCACGTTCCAGGGAAGAGAGTTAGAGTTTACGTAAGGGAGAATTGGGGAAGGAGCTAGGGATTACAGAAAAGAAAATTGATAAATTAGGGAAGGAGCTAGGGATTTCGGGGGAATTCAAAATTGAAAGTAAAAAAGGGAAATTGAAGTTACCTGAGAAACACATGCAAATGAAGGTTAACAAAGGGCCAAATGGGTTAAATGAGACGGGAGACGGGCCGAAGAAAGAAAGTGTGGGCCTCCAGCTTACCTAACCTAGTAAGGCTGTTGTTGCAAGGAGTTTTCATGCGCATTTCAACAATTACAATCCAGGCAACAGTTATTCCAATCTTATAATATTTCAATAGAAAGAAAAATATATATGCAATGTAATCAGCTCATTTGAACTTATGAATAAAAATATCAGAGTTTTTCTTCTTATAACCTTATTCTCTCTAATTTCTTAGTCTTTTCTTTATATTTTTCAGTTTGATTTTGACAATTGGTAATCAAAGTCACTTTTTGATCCACTTCCAAGCTGAGAAAACAAAAAAAAAAATCACAAAAAATGGTAGAGGAGAATCTACCAAAATATCACGAGTCCACAAATGAAGAGAATCGAGAAGCTATGCCCAAATGGTGGAAGGAACAAAAGGCTATTTTGAAAGACAGATTCAACAATTTCGAAGCCAAGTCTGATGAAAAGGGGGGGTATTAACAGAGGTTACTAACACTGATTGCTAAGAGTGTAGATGAGGTAGACCAATCAACTCCACTGACTAGCTTAAAGAAGGAGGAAAGGTTTATGAGCAATCAAGAAGGTAAGTTACCTATACAAGTTACTATTATTGATGAACATAAGAAATATTCATTCAAAAGAAGTGATCCGGAGATCTTAGCCTTCCAACATGCAATGAACCCTCCATTAACTCAGGATGATCAAAAGTTAAAATGGGGAAGTAGCTAGGAATAATTAAAATGATGGATAAATAAGTTCAAATAGAAAGAAAAACCTAGTCAAAATTCAGTCATGGAGTTTTTTTCCTCCTAGAACCAAGATTGAGATATCCACTTTTACTGGTGAGAATCCTATAGGATGGATAAGAAAATGTCAAAAGTATTAAAAAATTATTTATTTTGAGAGTGCCTAACAATAAAAAAGTAGAACTAGTAACAATTTATTTAGTGGGAAGAGTCGAAGTCTAGTTTGATGGTTATATAACATAGAAAAAAAGGAATCCTTTGGCATGAGTTTGCTTCAGATATCTACAATAGATTTTATGACAGGAACTATAGTGATGTTGTGAAAGAATTTAATAAGCTGAACCATAAGGGATCAATGGATGACTACCATGATAAGTTTGAAGAGCTTAGGTCATTCATGTTATAATATAGTCCATTTTTAGAGGAGGGATTCTTTGTCTCAAGCTTCTTGAGTAAATTAAGGAAGGAAATTTAACACATGGTTAAAGCCCATGAACCAAGGTCCTTAGTTGTTGACTTCAAGTTACCTAAATTTTATGAGTTGACATGGGAAGTGAAAAACAAAAAGTACAAGTATTCTCCTAAGCCTAACATGATTAGTCCAAATGCTTCATATAGGGCTTAGGGTACTAATGTGAGCTTACCCTTAAGAAGTAACCAACCTAGCGTAATCTAGAACAATCACTGCTGGAGTACAGGAGAACACATGGGCTATGTTATGAATGTGGTGATAAATTTACACCATGCCACTAGTGCACGCTTAAGCAATTATACTCTATGAAAGAAATGGAGGAGAAGAAGGAAACAAAAGTGGAGGAGAAAGAGGAAGTAAAAGTATATGAAGGGCAGAATGATCAATAAGAAATTTCCAACAAAAACAAACTCAAATATATATATTAATGCCTCAACTGGCCAGACAGGGCATAATACCTTAAGGATCCAAGGTTCTATCAAGGGAAAGCCAATACACATTTTGATTAACAGTGGTACTACCCATAATTTTATCACATAGAAATGATCCAGGGAAGGTATTGAGGTGGAACAAACTACCCCCTTAGTAATCATAGTGGTAAGTGGTGAAAAATTATACAGAATTGCCAAGAGTAAACAATTAAAGTGTAGTATGCAGGGGTATCAATTTGAGCATGATTTTCGAGTCCTTTTTGGTAGGGTGTGACATGGTTATAGGAGTAGACTGGATGAAAAATATAACCTTTTATTGATGGATTTCAACAACATGACTCTTAGTTTCAAGAGTGGAAGTCAAGAAATCCTGTTGAAAAGGGGTAGACTAATTCCACTATAAAATTGATATCAGGCAACAACTGCAGAAAATGAGGGAAAATGGTTCTAAAATAGCTGGAGAGATTTTTATGCTGAGTGGTGAAGTTTTGAAAACTGAGGTGCCCTTGGAAATACAAAACACATTGATTAAATATCAAGTGATTTTTGAAGAATCAGTAGGAATGGCTCCATAGAGGAAGTATGATCATTCAATTACATTGAAACCTAGTGGTGAAGCTGTCAACATAAGACTATATATGATGTCTTATCATCAGAAGATAGAGGTGGAAAAATAGGTGGTTGAGATGTTGTCTTCTTCCATTATCCAGACAAGTAAAGCCTTTTTCCTCACCTTGCTTATTAGTTAAAAAGAAATATGAAAGTTCGAGGATGTATATAGACTACATGTAATTAAATACTTAAACAGTGAAAAATAAGATCCCTATTCTTGTGGTGGAAGATCTTTTGGATGAGTTAGCTGGAGAAACTTATTTTTTCAAATTGGATTTAAGGTTAAGGTATTGACATATCAGAATCACCCCTGAAGACATTTCAAAAACAACCTTCGAAACACATCATGGATATTTTGAGTTTAAGGTAATGCCCCTTGGGCTGACAAATGCACAAGCAACATTTCATGCTTTGAAGAATTAATTTTTTTGGTCTCTATCTTAGAAAGTTTGTGTTGATTTATAGATCATTTTTTGGAAGTCCTAAAAAAGAATCAATTATTTGCAAAAGATGTAATGTTTCTTTGGACAAAGAGAGGTGGAATATCTAGGGCATGTGATATCTAGTAAGGGGGTTACCATTGATTTTTCTAAGGTACAAGCTATGCAGTAGTGAATATTACCTAAGAATTTGAAATCTTTGAAAGGGTTCTTATAACTCGTAGGGTATTACAGGAGATTCACAAGGAGTATGGGGAAATCAATAAACATTTCACTAATATGTTAAAGATGGATAAGTTTGAGTGGAAAATGGAAGCTATAGATGCTTTTGAATTGTTAAAGGAGGCAATGTGTAAAGCTCCAATCTTAGTTTTACCTAATTTCAACAAGACTTTTTATTTGAAGGTTTATGCCTGTTTCAAAGGGGTGGGGCAATTCTCTCTCAAGATAGTAGATTAATTGCCTATTTGAGTAAAACATTAGGGTCAAAACATACAAATTTATCCATATATAAAAAAAGTATTTAGTTATACTTATGGCCGCGACAAAATGGATGCATTACATGGAATGAGGACCTTTTGTCATCATGATAGACCATTAAGATTGCATTCTACTTATGTACAACATCAGTATTTGTGAAAGTGAGTTTAAGTATATGGAGATATATGCTACCAATTGTCGTTGCTTTGTTAACTACTTGATTGAATGAGTTGGTGAAAATTAATTCTCATTGGTTAAATGTTTAATCTTTGAAAGGAGATTAATGTATTAATCATTTCATGATGCATAATGGTATTGTTACAACATAATCATACTATTAACTGTCAAATTACAATAGTATTTACTAGTTCAGTGGTCTATTTTCTCTCATGTTTGCTACTACATTCCTTGCCTTTAATATTCTGAATTTTTATCTTTGCTGTAAACCTATCACCATTTCATTCCAAACTTATCTTTTGTAAAGAATCAACAATTCTAAGTTGTAATTCTTTTCCATGTGGGTTCGACATTCGAAAATCTTGTAGTTTTCACTTTATTACTTGATTTATGGCGCATGCACTTGTATTGAATGCTATAGCAATTTTGTAGTATCAAGTTTTTTTCGTCGTTGTCGGGGAGCAATGATATTGCATTATAATTGTTTTCTTTATTTTCATTATTTTTTTCATATTTTTGTTGTTAATTTTTTTAACGTAGCATTAGTGGTGCATGACACATAGCAACAATAAGGACTTAGAGCCATTTGATCTTAAAATTAAGCGGACTATCCACCAAATGAGGTAACAACATCAACAACAACAAAAAATGACTTTATATAGTGTTCTACCTTTACAAAGTATTATGATGTTGCAAAATTACTACAAAATCGATGATCACAACAGGTCAATCTGAAAGCATATTGTGCCGTTATTAGACGATTTGAAGCCTGACATCGTTAGACCTATCATCCTTGCTACTCATTTCCAGTTGAAGCCTGTAATGTTCTAAATGTTGCAATGTATAGGGCAATTTAGTGGGTCAATTATCGAGGATCCTAGAGAACACCTTAGAGCATTCTTGGAAGTGTGCGACTCTTTTATACAATAAGGGGTTCCCGATGAAGCTTTGAATATGAAGTTGTTTCCCTACTCTCTTTGTGAAAAAGCCAATATGTGGCTTAACTCGTTGATGCATGGAGTTACAATATAATGGAAATGAGCTTGCCCAAAAGTTTTTGCTATGATTAATCCTCCAAACATGAATGCGAGAATGAGAAATGATATCGCATCTTTCAAGCAATTAGAGGATGAATTTTTTATGAAGCTTATAAGCGATTTAAAAATTTACAGCACAAATGTCCTATGCATGGTTTCTGACATTGGACACAAATAGAGATATTCTACAATGGTCTTAACATGCAAACAAGGATGGTTATAGATGCCTCTACTAATGGAGCATTACTGGAAAAGTCTTACATCAAAGCCTATGAAATCCTTGAAAGGATCTCCAACAACAACATCAGTCATAGCAATAACATACGCAATAACAATTGATATTGCCATATCAACAGACATATCATCAAGAAATAAAACCACAACAATGTAACAAACAACAAATCTATCAAGGGAAAACTTTCAATCAAGTTAGAACATTGTGATCACTTGAGTCTCTACTAATGGAGTATATTTCAAGAAATGGGAGGAATGGTGATTTCATTCAAAGTCAGTCAACATCACTAAGAGCATTGGAAACTCAAATAGGGTATCTGTCAAATGCTTTAATTCCCTTAAAAATTGACATTTTTGCCCAAAACAGACTAAAAGTATTGATACTAACCCAAGAGTATCAATACTCCTGCAAAAGTTTCGATAATTTATATAAGTATCGATACTTTTAAACATTCTATTCTAACTAGTTTTAAAACTTTATGTGAGTTTCAAAATTATATCCCAAAGTTTCGATACTCTTGAAATAGTATCGATACTCTTACCCAGAAACTCACGAGTTTGTCCAAAATGAAGAACAAGTATCGATACTATCCCTATAGTATCGATACTCTACATGCAAAAGTCATAAAACAAATACGAAAAACTCTATTTTTAAATTTAAAGACCTTAGGGAGGTCGCCAAACATGCTTAAAGTTTTATTTATCAAGAAGGGTCATAATAAAGGCTTATTAGCATGCTTATAACATAAAAAGAACAATCTACCATGGAAATTGCTAAACATGCTTTAAACTTAACTTTCTAACACATCTTAACTTCCCATGATCTACTTGGTATGAGAAAGCTATAAGTGTGTTACCTTATTGCGTTGGCTGCTAAAACAAGTCTTGAATCAACTAGAATTTACCCTACCTTCAAGAAAAACCCATTTTTAAAACAAATTCTAGAACTCACAAAATGAAGCTTGAAACAAAGCTTGAAGGATGGAGAGAAATATTCTTACCTTGGCTACAACAACCAAAGCTTGAATCCTTAAAATTTTTCACTAAAGAAAGGATAAATGATGAAGAAGAAGAAGAGATGAGCGTATGGTGAGAAAATGATGGGGTGGTTCTGATACAGTTCAACCTAGCCTCATTTGGATGGATGGTGAAGTTGAGGTTGAACCTTTGATTGTTTCGATCTAGGAAGGTGGTGAGTATCTTTGCATAGTAAGTGAACCTTTATTTCTTTTTATTCCTTTTATAAGACTACCCTTCATTATTTAATCTTTCTACCTTTCTATTTTTTCCTCTACACTAACAAAATTTTCAGCCGACGTCCATAACACTTGAAAGGTCTCGAGTTAGTTCTTTTAAGAACTTTACAAGATAGGAACGAGTGGAAAAAGGCTAATCGAGTGTGTGAGATCAGAAGGGGAATTACAAAAGCCAAAGACATATTCCCGAGTGAAACACGAGTGCTTGAGTGGAGTGACATCACAATGTTTTTTTGGAGTGACCGTGAGGTTTTGTTGTGTGAAATTTGGTAAGGTCCTAATTTTCACATTTCAAATTTTTACTAACAATTTTATTTGATCTTTCCTCTTCCCAAGCAATGGAGAACATTCAACAAAGAGAGAATGCATTTCATACTCGTTGCCATGTAAACGGTAAAGATGGCAAAGTATGTCTTGTAGCCATTGATAGTGGAAGTTGTACAAATATTGCAAGCACATACATGGTTAAGAAGTTGGGGCTTATAACATTCAAACATCCCAATCCATATGTTTTGCAAGGATTAAATGAAGATGAAGAGTTAGAAGTCATAGAGCAAGTACTTGTTTCATTTTCAATTGGGAGATATGAAGATGAGGTCTTGTGTGATGTTGTTTCCATGAATTCAAGCCATCTTCTCCTCGGACGTCCTTGGCAGTTTGATAAACGAGCATTGTATGATGGATTCTCCAATAAATATTCATTCAAACACCACGGGAGAAAGATCATGTTGGTTCCAATGTGCCCAAATCAAGTTCATGAATGCCAAGAGACCCTTAAGTCACGTATAGAGGAATGAGAGAAAACTAAAGCCATGAAGAAAGTTGAAAGAGAAGTTATACATGAAAAACAAATAACATTGGAGAGCGTTGAACATGCACAAATCAAAGAAGAACATCATGAGAAAACCAAGACATTTGGAGTTGAAAATGAGAGTGTGATTTTGCGTGAGAAATCCATTGGAGTAATTGAAAATGAGAGTAAGAGTATTAAGAGTAAAGATAGAATTCAAAACAAACATTAGCATGAGAGAAAAGAATGTGAGGAGAAGGAAGTTTTACTTTATACTAATCAATCTTTTCTTCCTATTCTTTCATTTGATTTGCAGGTTATTCCAAAGGCCATACCATTGCAAATTGATGAATCACATTTGTCCATTGAAGTTCTAAAAGTTGTAACATCTGGTATTCTAAAGCATATGCTCTTTGACATTCGAAGTGCGTTCATTCTATACTCAAAGTTCAAACAACCTTATGAAAGGGAAGTTTCAATGAACCAAATTCCATTCATGAACTTTAATGAATCTTGTATGTTCATTCACATTGTTAATGATGTTTCATGTTCTAACTTATTTCTATTTTGCAGCACATTGAATCATTTACATGGAAGTGTTCTTGCTTGTGATCATCAATTCAAGGAAAAGAAATGAGCATTATCCAACTATTCAAGATTCATAATGTGGAAGGGTACAAAGACTAAAGTTGGCAAGCCTTACCTACTTGAATGATTCAAAGATATTCATGCATACCCTAATAGGCATAATGATCTTAATTCATCCTTTCTTACACCAATGGATCAATCAATGACAAAAGCTTTCGATTTGAGGAAAAATAGTTCTAAAGAAGGGGGGATGATGAGATCATGCCAAGGACCAAACTTCTTCAACACATGATCACTTCATGGACGTTCTTCCTTGTTGATTCTAAGGGAGTCTTACCTTATTTTATTATTTATTTACTCATTTATGCATTACATGTCACGTGAATATGTTTATCTTATTCTTAATTTTTGCTTGAATATTATATGCTGTCATTTATATGTATAATATATGATATTCATGCATGACTTATTAATTCACATCTTTATATAACTCATTCAATGCATATGCATTCATAGTTAGCTCATTTGCATTATTAACATAGGTGGAAGCATGCATTCATAATTATTATAGCTCAATTCCTATCTAATTATTTGTTTACATACTTTGTCTAGGTTCATTGGATGCTAAGAAGACTAAAGGCAATTGAAGAGTTGGTTGGACAGTTCACGTCAGTCAGATTGATCAACATTTTTGAACATGTTCCAAACATATTTTGGTGATAAAGTCTTCTTAACATTTAATCCCCTATCTCGTAGCTTTCCAAATCATTTTGAATCACATAAATACGATATCGGGAGCTTGAGATATTCCCAGATTTCTGAAGACAGTACAGGCTGGAAATTAATACGGGATTTGCAATCATTCATCTCCTTCAAAGGACTTATGCATGGGAGGAATTAATGAAGACATACATGGACGATAAAATAATATTAAAATGAATCAGAAAATTGGTGAGGAGGTGCAAGAATTCTTTTAAAGGCTTTTAAATTCATCCATTCATGCATATTCATGCAAGAAGCCAAATAGTCATGTTCACACAAGGGGGAAGAATTTCAGCCAAGATACATTCATGAACATTCATCCATAGAAGACAAATCAACAAGTTCACACAAGGTGGGATGAATTCGGCCAAAGGATGTATTCCATTAAAAGATGAACATCCATTCATCAAAATTCATTCACCTACGCCATGCTTTGTATCTACATAAAGTATGAACATTCATCCATGAATGTTCACTCATTAAAGCTTGTATGTGTATCCTAGGAATACTTAGGCCTATAAATAGTTTAGATTTCATTTTGTAAATGAATTCACTTTGTTTAATCAAATATTTGTGAGAGTTTCTCTCTTTAGTTCTTAAGTGAACTTTATCGACTTATCAAGCTTATGCTTGTGGCGTCAACCCCTTTCTTTTCACCTTGATGCTTCTGGTTCCTATCTCTTTATAGATAGTGGGTCAAAGTACTTAATACCACCCCTTGAAGAAGCAATATAAAGTCTGGGTCTTTGCTCTCTATAGCATTGGTTCTTCTTTGAGTCTTCTTTGAGATACTACTTCTCATATTCATCTCTGTAACACCCTAATTTAGGGGCTAAATTTAAAAAAAATATAAATTGGTGAATTTAATTGGTATTTTTAGAAGAAATCAGGGATTAAATTATAAGATTTCAAAGTTGGCAGACCATTTTAAGAAGTGTAGGAAATTCAGTGGCTAAACCCATGATTTAGCCATTTTTTATTTTGGAGAGAATTATGAATCTCTCCCCCGTATATTTTCTGGAAATTTTTCTAGATTTTCCTCTTCATCAACCCCTCTTTGAACTCCGATCTAGTCGCCATCCGACCTCCGATCGACGAGCCAAAACCACCATCGTGTTCGTTGTCGAGCGAGGAACAAAACCCCTCAAACCTTTTGTCGTGAATCGTCACTGTTCATCGTTAATTTCAGTCGGAAGTATAGTCAGTAATAACTCGGTTTTAGTTGGTTTTTCATCGATTCACGACGATCGGGTCATCCGTTTACGACACCTCCCGCACCATCGTGTTCGTTGCATCTTTCCGAGTTCGCCGGTGTCATTCTTGGTCTCCGTCGACGGCGGCGCGTGAGGAGGTGAAGTGGTCAAAGTTTCCGATTCGTTGAAATCGAGCTCTCCGCCATTCAAAAATTTGAACCGAGCTTTGTAAGTATCCTGAAATCGCTCAAAATAATTTTAAAGAATTTTTCCGTGATTTTTAGGCTGCCGGAAGGGGCCCCACGCGCCCCTACGCGCCGCCACTGCGCGTGGGG